TGGTGAGAAGTTTCATCTCAGATGTATCTTTAGGTTCTTCATCGGTGTATTATTCAGTTCTAATTCGAAACGTTACTGGCATTGGATCTCAGAATAGAAGTGAGAGGGGCTGTCTTTGTGTTTCATCTGTGAGTTGTACCAATAAGGTAACGTTTGTCGTATGTGAAGAAAACATTCATGCTTGAACTTCCAGTGAACGTGTATCTGTAATTTGACACTCGGACCAGTTCGTTGCTAGAGCCAACCTAGCGTCCTGTGATTGAGGTGCTCTGGCTATGCCGCTATTCTCTGTGCGTCAAACAGAATCGAAATGATCGTTGCTACATTCTGAAAGACTCAAACGGCAAAGCGATCTTACACCGAGGGAACTCACATGACAACTCAACAAATCAATCCTTGCACGAAACTAGGATCACACTGACTTCGTATTTTCCTCTATCTCAGTCAGTAACGGTGTAATGTTCTTTTATTTCGTTCATCCGTTGATAGAAGGAGAAAAACAGACAGACAGTGTGCGTATATTATCGTCCACTGTGTTTATTCTTTGTTCTCTTTTAACGTATAATTTGTTCAATTTGTTCAAGATCTTGTCGCGAATTAGACACGATCTTGCTATAATCCTGCCGCGATCACGTCACTCTCTTGAAACACAAATGAAACGGGATCCCATAACGAACTTGATCAAGAACACGATTACAATTATAAGATCGCGATTTTATTTTGCCAAGATCAGCATTTTTTCGTTACGCGGGAAAAAATCGGGTTCGCGATTAGATCTCAGCAAGAATGAAACGGGAATACCACTAGGGTATACTCCGATAACAGAGTTATACGACTCACGAGTGAACCTTCCCAGATGTCAAACTCTATTCCCAATGCTGTTATGCCAATTGATAGAGAAAAGTGTTCTAGACAAGGTATCTTCTCTCTCCTCGCTCTCCATGATTTATTTAATTTGTTTGTTTCGGTGATGTAATTAACTCTCTATGCGAACAACAGTTTTTCCATCCAAAAATTCATAACTCTTGATTGAAGCGTCATGTGCACAAATCCTTTTAGGATTTTAATCAAAACATTTTCCTCTATCAACTGACACAAGATCATTGAAAATGGAGTTTGACACCTGCGAAAGTTCCCTCGTTAGCCGTAATATTGCATGGCACTCGACCGGTAATACGCATATTTTACCTGATAACATCCTTCACAATCATCAGATAGTCAATACACCGATTTTCCAATAGTGACACAAAATTTTACACAATTCCATTGAAATATGCCAGTCTGTCATGTCTCGGAGCTTCAGAGACGTCCATGACGCTGTCGAGCAACCGTCGGAAAGTCCATAACATGCATAAAAAATACTTTTTTCGATTTATAGTCTATTCGATTCTGCGTAGTTAGAAATAAACCTAAGTTTTAACCTTTATGTAACTTACAGCTCCAAAGATAATAATTTTTGAATAAGAGCATCAATAAAATCTTGAAAAAATGCTCTTCGAGTAATATTGTGCTTTTTGTAAAATCAATATTTATCTGATTATTTTTGCAACATCTGATTCGAAAGAGGAGAATATTATATATTCATATTACAGATAAAAAGCTGTTGAAACTATGTAATTTCAATAATTTTGGAACTTGTGCTTTCGTTTTCTTAAACTTTTCTTGAAAAAAGATATTTTCTATAGGGAAAGAAAAGGGCTAGCAGCGTCTTGTTTCTCAGTTTTAACCATTTTGCACCACTTTCCTATAAATTATATTTTAGTGCATTATGTAAAGAATTGTTTGCTCTCTACTTTCGTTTGCTTTCTGATTTAAGGGTACCCTCTCCCCTCGTTCTTTTATTCTCTTGGAAAACTAGGGAAGCCGATGTGGGATCGGGTTCCAGTTTATACCAGAGATAGTACATCGAAAAAGAAAATCAATGTATTTTTGCCCAGAATTTTCTGATGTGTTCTTCTGTGGGTTTTCTGGAAAAGTCCAGTTTCCATTGGCACAAATTACGACCCCTCGAAAAACTGGTCCGATCGAGCTCATAATTTTACCACAGATACTTCAGACCTTATCTCGGGTTAGTTTGTTTTCTTCGAAAAACATTCTTTCCTTCTCGAGATATCCGAAAAATACTGAAAATCCCCCAATATAAAAAATCGGTTTTTCATTTTGAAAACCTTCTCACGCCGAAAGTTGAAGTTGAAAACGCTTTAAAAGAAACGAACCTGAGATAGGGTTTGAAGTATATGTGGTAAAATTTTGAACTTGATCGGACTATTTTTTCGAGGTGTCGTATTGTGTGCCGATTGAAGGGACTATTGAAAAAACGCATAGTGAGAAAACCACATATTGTGCACAGGGCTCTGCTTTTCAGGGCATTTGCAGCTATGCTTATATCTCCAAGAAAACTCATCAGAAAATTCTGAAAAACATCTCATTTTGAAGAGCACATTTTCTTCTATCATGCTATATATAAGAAAAATGCTGAATGTATAGGCAAGGAGTGAAAAATTTACGCTTAACAAGGATTGAATTTTAAGAAAAGTGACAAAAAGTAAAATTTGAAAATTCAATATATCATTTTTCTTGCATCTCCATTTCCAAACTTTTTCGAAAACAAAATAGCACATCTTGTTTCAACTTTTCTCCTCTTTCGAAACAGATGTTGCACAAAAATAATAGGATAAAAATTGATTTCACAAGAAGCTCTATATTACTTACTCTAAGAACATTTTTTCAAAATTTTGACGATGGTCTTATTCAAAAATTATTTTCGTTTGGAACCGTAAGTCAGATAAAAGTTAAAACTTAGGTATATATCTAACTTTGTACGGAGAATCGAACAGGCTATAAATTAAAAAAATTATTTTTAATCACGGTATGATGTTTCTCGATGTCTTCGAAGAGTATCTCTTAATTTTCTGTTTATACTAGGCTCCATCATTCTCGTTATTATAGCTCCTGAAAATTTGATTAATTGTGACGACAGAAGATCTCCATCATCAACAATTCGTGCTCCTGTGATGCCCCGTTCACCATCGCGGCTAGTGCCTCATATTCTTCCAACGCCTTCTACTTCTATGATACCTCGTGCTTCTCCGACGCCATCAGCTTCTTTGGCCGTTTTATCAGCAATTCCTGTTTCTGTAGAAAGGCTTCTCATGAAACTATCTACTGCAAGGCGACCAACGGCAAATCAAATGCCTCGTCGTACTTTGCATATATGGCGATTGAAAACAAGTGGTATAGCTCTCTTCCTAATGGCAATTGTGAGTGTCATTGCTGCTCTAATTATATATTTTCCTAAAAAACATAAAGGTAAACACAGTTTTGTTTTAAAAAGCTGTTGGAATGTTTGTCTATAAATATCTTTTATTGTTAGAAGAAACGTTTACACCTCCGTCTATTTCGTCAGTAACAAACCCATCCGAATCTGAACTAAGTGAGTCGAGCAGATATCGATGGTTTCACTACCTGTGATCTAGTTATACTATATCCGAAGTCTATTGGCTTCACAGGCACAAGAATTAGTAATAAAGAAATGGGGAAAATGAACGATCAGTCGCCTTTACTCAAATTCGATCGATCTAATACAATTTTCCATTAATACACCATTTTGAGTTGAGAGTTCTTTCTTATCGAGTCAAGTACTTGCAACATTTGAATTCAATTCATGATTCGAGTTTAATTTAAACAAACTAGTTGTTTCTTCTAGCCTTGGATACTCTTGTCATTCAGCGGATACTAACCACTGAAATAAAAAATATTCTGTCTACGAAGGTCAGAAGTTCAACATTGTCAAGCAGAGATGATGAACTATCAATGTTATGGTCATGGATATTATGGAGTACTGTTGGCTTGTCTATCTTTCTGGCACTGTTGGCGTTTTTTTTGTTTCGAAAAAAAGTAATTAATCATGATACACGTCAGATTGTGTCTCCTCGAACAAGTAAAAGTCCTGATTCCTTCGAAAAAGAATCATCCCCACGATCAAGCCGAGCAAGAAAAAGCGCGCAATACAATCATTATTGAAAATAGTAGATGTGGATTACACAGAACGTTGATAAATCCATGATCATTATTCGGATTCTGTTTTCTACTGCTTGTGTTCGTCTGTGTTATACTCGTGACGCAATATTTTTCTGTTTTAAGAAAAATAAAAAAATTCTTGCGATTTTACTCTTGATCCCACTCAATCTTTCACTAGATGCAAATATTCACAATTAAAACTTCAAAAAGGACGGGGGACGATAAGAGCCAAAATCGCTCTCCCACGCTCAAATCAGTCTTATATTAACTCATCTGATGCAGCTTTTATCCGCGATTAACCATAACGTATTTTTAGATCTTAAAAATCCTTTTCAGCGCCCCAGGAAACATGTTAGCAAAAAAAACTCTTCCCTGGTTACATGACATTTACTCCAGATATTTTCGTCATTCCACCTCTTCCACCTAGAGCAAATACCAACTATTATACACCGTTCGATGGAGAATTGCATGGGCTCTATCAAACGAGATATTATATCGCCCTAAGAAAAAGTAAGTGGGTGTTCTACGATCCGAAATACTCGGTACTATCTCAGCAAACCGATAGATCATCCTCATTCATGTTTGTACCATCCATTTAATCCACTGGTTGATTAGAAATGGATGCTGTTATAAACTGATTTTCATACACACACTCTGGTGATGAATACTGTGGAACAACATAATTTTGCACCAAAATCTTCCAGATTCATAATCTGCGTCATAAAATGGGCGGTTGTTTGAATATTTTGAGTGCCCAATAATGTTTGAAGGTTTTGCCTTAAACCGCCAAATAAGTGAATAATCTGAGCTTGCTGTGTCATTTGTGGATCCCCTGTCTCGCATAGGTCAAGAACACGATGACAATAATCGATGGCAGATTCATTTTCTCGTTGCTTCACATTCTTCAACTCCTAATGTGCTTGAATAGATGTTGTTTCTGGTAGTGGAGGAAATCGAGCTATCAATATGAGAACAAATTCCTACCACGTATTGAACAGATGTGAACGATCATGAAACCATTCAGTTGCTTTGCCTTGTAGTTTTATTCGGATTTTCTTCAGTCTAATTGAATCATTATCAACATCATAGGCAAAACACACCTCGTCAGCATGTCGAGCCCATTCTCGTGGATTTTCATCTGATTTTCCATAAAAATCACGTAACTCCCCAATCGCTCTATGGGATTGATCTTGAGACACCTACTGTTTTCCACAAGAATATGTAAACCTTTCTTCGATATACCATCGTTGGTACAATACACAGATGCAGACAGAAGAAGAATTTTCTTCTTTGAAAGCAGAAAGAGAAAAGCTTAGAGTGAGTGTGCCTAAATAGAACGGAATAATCACAGTTTATTTTTTTAATCGATTACTGTACTTGAAATTCTTTTATATAGTCG